AAAAAAAAAACGCTGAGCTGGTCATATTCGCAGAATTGCTCAGTAAGTAGGCGGATGCTTGAATGATGGCACTTGTCATCGCCCAGCCTCGCCGAATGAATCATCTCATCCCGGCGCGTATTCGAGGCAAATTTGTGAGTTTGAACACACGGACGGACGCTCGTCAATACGTTGACTTGGTGGTGGACGCTGTTCAAAGACCATTTCGACAAAAAAAAAAACGCTGAGCTGGTCATATTCGCAGAATTGCTCAGTAAGTAGGCGGATGCTTGAATGATGGCACTTGTCATCGCCCAGCCTCGCCGAATGAATCATCTCATCCCGGCGCGTATTCGAGGCAAATTTGTGAGTTTGAACACACGGACGGACGCTCGTCAATACGTTGACTTGGTGGTGGACGCTGTTCAAAGACCATTTCGACACTCCAATGGCACTCATAATAAAACAGTGCAATAGAACATCAAGCATGAAGCAGTTTATGTTTTCTGATTTAATGCTGCAATCCAAATCAGTGTGCTGCTCCTTCTGGTGTGGCCACCAGAAGCCTCTTCAATGCAGTCATGCTGACAATAGTAGTCGTTCTTCTTCGAGGATAAAGAATACGTGCCTGTGAGCAGGAGTTGTTATCTGGCTGCACTAAACTAATGTTTGGATTTTAATCTTCGCACTCCCAGACAAGCCACCAAGCTTGTTTGGTGGCAGCAGTGATGCGGCGCTTAACTCTGCGTGCTATCATTGTGCCGGAGCGGTCGCGCTCGTCGTCGTTCTTGACGCTAAACGTGGCTAATGAGACAGTATGGACTTCCCGAAGACGCCGGCAGCGCCGGCCCATGCCGACGTGCCGAGCTATGTGCTTTTGTCGCGTCTCGGGCGGCCTGACGACGCCTGACATAATCGGGTCAGCGAGACGGTCAAACCTCCGGGCTGCAGCCTTTGCTCCCCGGCCGACTCATTATTCCCCGGCATTATTCAGACTGGCCGTGTGCGTTCGTGTGTGTGTGGGGGGGGATAAGCCTCACACCATGCATGCTTGAAAACAGACTGCGGCTCAGACAAATGTAGAAAACAATCACAAACGAGACCTCCGCCAAGGCCAAACCTCATCATCAAATTTCTTCTTCTGAGTGTGGGTGGAGTCAGTTCAAATTTTCATTGCATGCAAATGAGACGAACGTGATGAAAGCATCCAGCAAGATCCATGGCGGAGGTAATCAAGCAAAAAAACATCAACATTAAGCGTCAGTAAACTTAAAAGTGAGCAAGCAAGGCCCTGGAGTGTCATCATAAGAATATTCCAAAGCAAGCTGTCACTCGCCCGCTCTTTTTATTACGCTTACGGAACAAGCACTTAGCGCCGTGACCACCATGAATAATTGAGTGGAACAAGTTCCCCCCGTCGTGCCGCGCCGGCATGCGAAGCGGGGAACTCGCCCGGGGGGGGAGTGGCGAGGGCGCAGCAATAAAATATGCTAAGTGGCAGGAAACGAGCACAAGGCAGAGAGAGATAAATTATCTGCACCCTAATGCGAAGCAACGTAGCCAAATGAGCCGTGGCGAGGATGAATTACAGATTGCCGGCCCGCCTCGCTCGCGACGATCCCCCCCGATTATGTCAAAGCGATGTATGCGAGGGGAGGGGCGGCGAGGGAGCCAATGTGAAGCAATGTCAATACGAGTTTTGCAAAATACGTTTGACTCGCATTTGGCTTCATTGTAAAAAATTGCGTACAAGTGGAGCGGAGCGGCGCTTTGACATATGAGTGACCCGACATGCAAGTTTTTGTCATCGGGATCATTTTTTTTTTTTTTTTTTTTTTGCTTTGACGTGTGCAAACTTGAAATGTGAACACATGGTGGCGGTCACTTGACAAAAAACGGCACTTTGGCAAATAGTGACACGCAATATGAGATTGAATAGTTGAGAGCGCGGACGGAACTGAGCTTGTATGTCAAGGCACAAAAAGTGAATGGCGACGCAGTGGCTGTCAAAGAAAAAAAAATCAACAGAGAATCTTGTTGAGCTCTCCAACTCTGTCATGGGTTAGAAAATGTGTTTTTGCGGGCTTAGTCTTGTCACGGTCTGGACCCCTATAAAACCTTGATCTTGATGAGTTGTGGTCTCGAACTTTTAAGTCCTGGTTTGGGATCGTGAGCGACTGTTGTGCGTAACGGGGGGTCCCGACTCAAGCGAGACTGAAGAGCCCACGTCAACTTCCACCCATTGAAACGGCACTCTGGCATTTGCCCTTCCTGATTACAAGCACACAGGATGAAGGTGACCGGGAGTGCAGGCGGGGGGCACCCGCTGAGTTGGATTAAAAGCACCAGGACCTGGCAAAAAAAAAAAAAGAAAAGAAAGAAACACTTTTGTTTGTACTCCTCTCAGTAAAGACATACAAAGACACTTCAACACACTCAGACGCTCATGCTCACGCCGCGTGATGGCTAACACAGGCACTGGTGTGCACCAGCTCACACACGCGCATCCAAACAGGTATTCAGTGTTGACCTTTGCAGTGCGCTCCCAGCAGTCCACTCTGGCCTCGCTTGCTTTTGTCTGGACGAGCGGCTCGGCAACATTCTGAAGACTTAGCAGCCATTCAAACACTGTCTGTCTTTCTTTTTGGCGGTTTGTCATTTTACACACACAAACACACACACACATGCTAATACATCCTTCGATCCATTCACACACACACCAGCTGCATCCAAACCAAGCCAGTCACCCGTCCTTTTATTTTATTTTATTTTATTTTATTTTATTTTATTTTATTTTATTTTATTTTATTTTATTTTATTTTATTTTTCCCCAGATCATCGGAACAATCCCGCTGATGGCGAACTCGGCAGGGCCGTCCAGCCAATCGGGAGGCGGCAACGCGGGGCTGCAGGTGCCGCCCATCACGCCGCAGCTCCTGACCAACGCGCAAGGGCAGATCATCGCCACGGTCATCGGCAATCAGATCCTGCCCGTCATCAACACGCAGGGAATCACGCTGTCGCCCATCAAGCAGGTGGGCACCCCCGTTTCAAATTTTAGCGGCATGTCGAGACGTTTGTATTTGTCCTTGGATGGAGCGGTTGGAGTCTCATAGGCAGGCGTTTCCAGCTTTCTTTTTGAAGACTGAAAGCTCCAAAGTTGACGATCCAAACAAGTCACACGCTTGCCAATTGTCAAGGATATTGACTGGCTCGCCTTCGCAGAACCGCCCCTTAAAAAGTTGCCCAATGCGCGCAGACGGACGTTTAATTGCGTCCGCCCGCCACTCGGCATGAATGATTGCGTTTGTAAATAATGTTTAGCGGGCGGGCGGCTCTCCACTTGAAAGGGAATCATTTACGCTTGTCAGGACCTTGCGGTTGGGAATATTTCCAACTCAAGCTAGATAATTCTCCCGGCCTGTCAGCGGTCCTGACAGCGCGTGCTAGCTCGGCTGTTGACTAGCGCGTAGCCCCAACAAACACACGCCGCCCGGAAAATAATGACTAGCAAAGGAGGCGAAGAGAAGCCGGCGTGACAAGGCTCCTGTCTTGATGTTGTAAAAGCGCATCGGGAAGGTGCGGAAAGCAGAAAAGTACATTGTTATTGTTATTGTGCCGCCGCTGCTTACCCAATTGGAAATTGCGTTTGATTCACGGAGATGCGCCTCTGAGCTTGTCAACAAATGTTCTCTTTCCATTTTTTTTTTTTTTTTCTCCGACAAAGACAGTAAGTGACCCCGGAAGGAATCGGGAGCAGTTAAAAGCACACAAATGGGTTCGCTACTAAATGGCTCCCTTTCATAACTGTTTATTACATAGTCATGACACCACTGCTTGAAACAGTGAACCTGAATTTCTTTTTTTTTTTTTTTTTTTTTTTGTGGCCTCGGGCCCAGCAGGGTGCAAGCGGCCCTGCCTCCTCCTCCTCCTCGTCCTCGTCCTCATCATCCTCATTATCATCCTCGTCGTCTTCGTCCTCGCAGCCCGGCCTGCTCCACATGGCCCACCGGCACAGCCCGCTGCACCTGGCCTCTTCCTCCTCCTCCTCCACCACCTCCTCCTCATCCTCGGCGCTTAGCGTGGGACAGCTAGTCAGCAGTGAGTGTGCGCGCCACACAAATGCTTTTTTTTTGTACAATTTCATTATTCCAACAGTGTCCGTGCACTGCACAAAACGAAAAATAATGTGATTATGTGGTACAGGAATATTGAAATGAAAAATATAGTGCAAAATAGAAATGATTAAGTACCAAGGAGAAAATGATCCCTTTCTGAAATATACGAGCGCAACTACAATGAAGATGAATTCATTGCTATGTACAAAATCTTTCGATTTGAACGTTTGATTTTTCATTGCGTGCGGCTTCCTTCCAAAATGTTTTGTGTGTGTCCAAGCGAGCGGGCGGTGTCGAATGTTCCCCATTAGCTTTGTAAGTAAACACTCTCCACAGGGAACCCCACGTTCATCAGCACGGAGTCGAGCGAGTGCTCCTCCCTCCCCACTTTTCTTTTTCTTCACACTTTTTGGAGGACGTCTCACACACACACAGAGGCACACGC